ACTATGGCAAAACGGAAAGCGGAAATTCTGACTGAGGATCCATCTGCTGTCAGCAGTAAAAAAGTCAAACATGTCGAAATTACCAAACCAATCAAACCGTCCCTTCTGGACGATAGCGACTCTTGGTCCAGCGAGGATGATTCTGGAGGGGTTGATCTACAGGAGCCTGGCTTCAAAATCAACGAGGAGTATGCCAAGCGGTTTGAGCATAATAAGAAGCGGGAAGAGCTCCAGAGATGTTCGTCCATCTTCCCCATTTGGGCTAACAGATGTTAACATATATTAGTGGAGGAGAAATTCAACAAGTCTGCTAAGCCAATAAAGGCCCAATATGGCGACAAGTATGACGATGATTCTGAGGACTCGGATGATACTGATGAGGATGATGAGGGAATTCTCGCGACGGAGGCTTTGGACGCTGAGATTTCTGCGACACTTCAAGCTATTCGCGCGAAGGATCCTCGGGTATATGACGAGAAAGTTACATTTTATGCCCCAATAGAGGAGAATGGTGGTGCCGAAAGACCGTCTACTACGAAGCAGAAACCGATATTTCTAAACGATTACCACCGAGAGAACCTCTTGAAGGGACATATTGGGGCAGACGAAGAAGAGGATGATGCTCCAAAGACTTTTGTTCAGGAACAAGCAGATCTCAAGAGGAATATTACCAAAGAGATCCATGCCGCAGCCGATAATGTCTCCGATGATAGCGAAGATGATGACGGAGGGTTTCTCAAACCAAAATCGAGACCAGAGGCTTCCAATCAAGGAGTACACCCAATGCGTGCCGCTAAAGTCAAGGTGGACGTTAAAGTCGCTGACAAGGATCCAGAGACATTTCTCTCAAATTTCATGGCAGCTCGTGCTTGGCTTCCCACTGACGAAGCACGCTTCGAGCCTTTAATATCAGACGATGATGAGGAGGTCGAGAGAGCAGAGAAATTTGAGGCGGCTTATAATCTCCGGTTTGAGGATCCAAAAGGTAGCAATGAGATGCTAAAGTCCTACGCGAGAGATATTGCTGCAGCGAAGTCAGTGCGTCGTGAGGAACCAAATAGTAGGAAGAAGCAGCGAGATGCTCGGCGAGAGAAGAAGGAAGCTGAGCACACGGAAAGAGAGCAAGAGAAGGCGCAATTAAGGAAATTGAAGATTGAGGAGATGGAAGAGAAGCTCAAAAAGATAAAGCAGGCAGCAGGTTTGAGAGGCAAAACTCTTCAACTAGATGAGTGGACGAAGTTCTTGGATGATGGTTATGATGATGATAAATGGGATATAGAGTTCTCCAAACATTTTGGGGAAGACTATTATGCACAGCAAGAAGGTGCCTCTGAAAGTGAAGACGAAGAGGATCAAACTAAGAGAAAGAAGAAGGTCAAGAAGCCGAAGTGGGATGATGATATCGATATTAAAGACCTCATTCCGGATTTTGTCGAGGAAGAGCAATTACAGAACGATCCCAACTTTGCATTATCCGACAACGGAGAAGACGATCAGGATAGTGAAGAACCAAAGCCGAAGTCAAGTAAAGATCGCCAGAAAGAAAAAGAAGCCAAGAAAAGGGCAGCACGAATTGAGCGGAAACACATTGAAGACCTCGTCGACAGCCGTCTCGAGCTTGACATGCCCATGAAATCACAAAAAGCCACATTCCGCTACCGCGAGACATCTCCTAAGTCATTCGGGTTAACAGCAAAGGATATATTGATGGCGAGCGACAGTAAGTTAAATGAATTTGCGGGACTAAAGAAGATTGCCAGTTTTAGGGATCCTGAGAAAAAAAGGAAGGATAAGAAGTTTCTGGGGAAGAAGGCGAGGCTGAGAGAGTGGAGGAAGGAGACTTTTGGGAATGAGGACGGGCCGGAGATTGTGATTGGAGAAAGGGTGACCGAAGCAGATGTTGGTGATGGCGTTGATATTGTGGAGGGCAGGAAGAAGAGGAGGTCGAGAAAAAATAAGACGAAGATGGAAGCCTGACTATGTTAAAGGGATAATGTAGGGAAATGTAAAACTATCTCTGCATGAATTTCCACAAAGTAGGCTGAAAGATAACCTTTTAATATCTTGGATAATGTGTGGAAGTGTATTAACCAGCCGATGCCATAATCTACTGATGTGCGTTAAGTATCGATTCAAAGTTTCCAAGAATATTACGATGCTTCGAATTTCATATATTATTTCTACATTCTGTACATTATATTAATTCCTTCGTCTTACACGCCTGGCATTCCAATGATGCTTCTGAAGCCTGGTACTATCCGTGGTAAGAAATATACAATGAATATTCCACTCAGCGCAACTGTAAGGCCAGTGAACTATATAAATATCAGCATCCGGTTTGAAGCTTAAACCATCAACTTTGGATAAGGGCATACCTTTTCAAACCAAGTATGGAAATAAGCGGCTGTCATTAGCAGCATATAGACACTCAATGTTGCAACGCCCAGTACCCCTTTCGCAGCAAAAGTCCACTCCCCGCTTCTTTCCAATATACTCTCCGGCTGCGCCTCCACAAATGCACTCTTAACGGCGCCATCTGCCATGACTACAGTCCGTTCCTCTCTTGTCCTCGCATCTCTCCATACCACATTTAGCACCTCTTCTAACAAGAACATGCTTCCCAACACTAGCAAGAAGACGTGCCCAGAGATATCATGCCCGCCTTTCCACTTCCCACCTGCGGCTTTGCATGCTAAGCCAGTCAAAAATTGTTCCGCAGAACCCATCTTCACCACTCCCGCGTCCGCCAGTTCCACGAGCTCACATTTCCCGCCCGTAAGCAAAAATCCCCGATCAATTATTGCGGGGCCAAAAAACCACTGCGTGATAAATATCCACCACGCCGTCAAGATTCCCCATCTCAGCGCTCCTTTTATACGCTTTGTCGTGAGTTGAAGTGAAGGTCCTGTGGAAGGGTGGGTGAACAGAAAAAAGAAGTAGCTGAAGGTAACCCATGCCCAACCTTTTTTCACAAACAGAACATTGAAGAGATTGGTCTTTTTTGCAAAGTAGGACGGCGCAGTGTTCGCATAGTGGGACTGTGTGGCAGCGTTGTAAGGCGAGCTGCGCGTAGCGGGATCAAGGAGCCCGAAGAGGGTACCTATTATTAAGGTTGCCGGATATATCGACAAAAGACCTGTTTCCAAGGTGGTTGGCAGAAAAGGCGATCTCCTAGATGGCATTTTCGGAGTGGATGTTGGTGTTGAGGTTGTAAAAGTGTTATTTGCCTCTGGAATTGAAGAAGATTGAGCTGTTTGGTTCTGGACTCTTTGTGAGCGTCGAGGTGTCACAGACGGTGAGTCCATTTGATTGTATGTTATAACATGAGGATTCTAGAGCTAGATTGAATAGAGGTATCGTGAAGAAGTGGCAAAGCAATGTTGTCGAGGACAGATGTTCCCGTGTTGGAGGAATTTTGCTTTCAAGTAGCTCGATGACGTTGCGGAAAAGTGCCCTGCCTTGCCAAGACCTCCAGCCTCGGGGCATAACAAACCACGCGATATAACCGCTCCCCACATTTTGGCACAACGCTGGCTAAATTCGATGGTACGACTGCTGACCCGACTTTGCACGAAGCTATTGTTTATAAACAAAAAAATTAATTCAGCCGCTTATAGAGCTTGGAGCAGCCTTTCGCTTTAAAAAAACACCATGGTTTCAACTCGAGGCCACCCCCAAGAATTCGCCGAACCTGACTTGGCGTCATCGAAGTCTAGTCCAACTAATCGTAAGGACGTCATACGCAGCCACAAATGGGCCCACACTCCATCGAATCTGACACTCATATGGCTCTTTATCTCGCTGCCTTTGGTTGTATGGGACGCCGGTTATGTTTTGCTACGACCTCATAGCATGCCTGGCGGAAAATACCATTGGCCTCTCTGGCAGCCATATGAATTGTATGGACGAGTGGACTACATATATGGATGGAAAGCGTTTAACGCCAAGAATGGATTCACAGCCGCACAAACCTCATTGAATGTCGTTGAGACATTGATGTATATATATTATCTATACATTGTATTTGTGCATGGCAAATCGTCAGTGGCGCCCGGCCGAGGTGTTCCAGACGTATCAAAGGTTGGCTTTTTGGGCCAGCAACGCTCTGTGAGTGGTCCAGCAGGCATACTCGCATTACTGGTGGTGTACAGTGCTGCCGTTATGACCCTCAGCAAGACAGCTCTATACTGTTAGTTTGTTCTTGACTTACTAAAGTTCCTCATTGACTTATACCAGGGGCAAACGAGTACTATTCTGGCTTTGACAATATCGGCCACAACAATGCCAGGGATCTGCTTTTCTTGTGGATCATTCCAAAGTAAGTTGATATGAAGAATCTGCGAATGAAGCTTACTCTTTCAGTGGTGCCTGGCTCGTCCTTCCCGCCTATATTATCTATGTGGCTGGAAGTGAGATATCTCAAGGTCTCTTGGCTTCTGCTGGGGCACCCGTCAATTCATCTGAGGAGAAGTCCTCTGGGAAAGCAGAGTAATGGAATGCCAATCGTGTTCCAGGGGCAAAATAGTTTTGAAAGCTTTATATGGTCTGGAAAACCATATTCTGTTTGGCGTAAATCCTCTTGTATTCATATCAATAAATTTAAACTGTACCTTATAGTCTTGAACAGCAAGTCAGAAGGTAGTGCTGCTTCTAGAAATATTGTTTATCATATTCCTGATAGTGCTTGCAAGTTTGCAGTCACTGTTCTTAACCTTATACGTGAGAAGTTGAGCTGACAGGCCAACAGGGAAGTATTTTAAGAGAATATCTACATTAAGTGGCGTGACCCAATTAAGTAGTGTGATTTCTCAGCATTGGCCCCCAATTCGTTTCTGGTGTACAGTCTTGTTTTTAGGAGCTTCCGTCTTGTACCTGCCATAAATAGAACCTTGCTAGTTTAGAAGGGTGTGGATTTGAGTTCGAGCTTTGGACACAGGACTTGTTGCCTCAGGCTTTAGTGATATTAAAAATAATAAAAAACATGTGACACAAAACAGCTTGCCTTCATGGCGCAGTGGTAACGCGTCGGTATGTTCTGAGCACATTTCGTAACCTATTCATTACTAACATTATCTAGCACTTGTATGAGTGTTGCACCACTCTTCGTAAATGCGAAGATCCCTAGTTCAATTCTGGGTGAAGGCAATGATTTTTTATATTTTGGACTTGTTTTTAAATGCAAAATTATCGATTCAGCCGCTGTTCATTCATTCATTCACTATTACACAAGTTGTTGTAATACTATTTTATGGCGGTGGGATTGTGTGTGCTATTGAACAGTGTTTACGCTAAGTCAATAAGCGAGTAGCTTATAGGGGTAGGAAGCGCAACCCAGTCACCCAGTGTGAGTTTTATCCTCACAATGTAATTAAATTTCACATGTCGAAGTAATTCTAGCAAAGCTCTGGTGAATTGCTGAAATCTTTTGGCACTTTGCTAATCCTCACAACTCCTCTGAGATATTTTGAAAGTGGGCCATGGAACACTAATACATTTCAGTTTACGTGATCATTGATATCTCTCACTTCTAACATGATTGCCTTGTTTCTCAACTTACCTCACCCGCATATTATTCTCACTGCGGCGGCCTGGTCGGAGCCATTTAGGGTCTTCATTGACCTTTGTGGAAGGCATGGGCAGCTCGTGAAAGCGAGACATTGGTCTGAAGTTACTAGCCAATGAGCAAGCGGCAGAATCACGATTCAGTAAGCCTGTGCATGAGAGGGTAGATAGGTCCATGCGTTGAACATTTTTCATTACCTACGTATGGCATCATTGCAAAATTTAAGGCAATGCCACACATGAGAAGGAATATTTGAAGCTTTCTTGTTGCTCACGGTTAGTTAACGCCAAGACTTCTCAGGATAAGTTGGTTGTAGAATTGACCTGAATGCACTTGTATCTGATGAGATTACTGTATGAAAACATCATCTGCTTTTAAGATATCCTTAATATATATATCGTACATTAGCCATATTTCGTACCGCCTCTCATCTTCGACTCGTTGTTCTCGTCTCACGACTCGTACTCAATCAAGTGCCAAGCTTCCTCCCACTCCAGAGCAATGGTTGAGCATTGTTAGCTTCCCGTCGGATGACCAAGTCAGGAACAGCTTCCAGGCCATGTGCGCGTACTTCAGCCTCGAGGAGCGCCATGCTGACGATTGGATTCTCGCCTACCACACCCAATACTCTTTCCCTCCCCGCCGCACTTTTTGTTTTTCCATCGGACCGCTTGTGCCACCTCCATACCAACACTGAACACTCCAGTCAGACAAAGATATATAGTGGTTCTCTCCTAACCTTTTCACCATCGGGGAATGTTATGGCTTAACCGCCCATCCTGATCCTAACACAGATACATATGGTATCGATATGCTGCTATGAGAAAGTAATAAGTGTCTGCAGAGGCAGGTAAGGGATGAATGGTGAAAGGCTTGGCTTCGGCTGGTCCGTCTCGGTCCACCTTTTTTTGTTTGCAGGCTGCAGAAAATAAGGGCCGTTTCTGGTTGCATGCTCAGCATCTTTACCTTTCCCCCCCAGGCCGCCTTGCATCTCCTTGCATCAATTCTTCCCGGATAAAGAAGTTGAATGACAAGAGAGAGTGAGCTATAGGTTGTCTTTTGGGTCGGCCTCATCCTAGCACAAGAGTGGCTGCATCAAGGGTTCACTGTCGGACTCACTAAAAAAATACCCCAGGGGGAATTCCTCCTGCTTCTTTCTTTCACATCGATATCTCATCATCATCATCATCGTCCTCCTTTGCCCTTCATCTCCTTCCTCTCGATCCCCATTCACTTTCGGGATACTGTCGCGTGCCTGTTGACAGGTGATGCTGAAGTGAGACCTTTCTTCGACCCCTCCAAAGCCACGATAAGGACCCCTACAATCGATAACAACCCCCTGTATCCCACTCTGAATCACGCCAAATGTCTGGCATATGACCTTTCTATGTGCGATACTCCATTGAAATCTAAGATATCTCGAATTTCTTTATCGATGTTCGCAAATATTCGCAAAACATAGATGTATGTGGTGTCCCAACGTTGGGGACTGTCAGAGTTAGGGCATTCTTACAGCGCAACCATCCGCATATCCTACTACCTGCTTATTTGTCTGACTATACGCGCCTCTTAGGCAGTAAACAACAATCCCACGGTGCCCTGGGCAATTAAGATCCAGATTCTTTCCTTTGCGGAGTATCTTTATCTAGCTTATTGCTGTTGGGATTCTGGTAGGAACCTTACAGCAACTGCGGAACAGATATTTCTATGGGGTTTACCCCGCCCTTCGAAGACGCCGAGAAGATCCTCCCATCACCTCATATCAGCGACTTTTGATCGGGCATTGAGTAGCAGAGCTACGTCGATTTATTAGTGATGGCTAGCTCTGTGGCAGAGATCAGTCCTATGGCGGCGGACAGCGAGGACATACCGATCGAGCATTCCGCAGCCATCCCTATCGAGCAGCCAGCAAAGCTCAAAGGACGAGCGAAGCTCTTACATAACCTCCAACGAATTTCCTCATCTCCATCTCTCGCACAGCTGAGTCGAAAAAGAGCAGTAAGCAACCCATACACTGTTGGCAGCACCCGAAGCACATTATCGTGCGTTAGTTTGGCATCTCCAAGCTCTCCTCGAAACTATGACAATTCCTACTCGTCCCAGTGGTCCAACGGTGGATACTCCACTGCTCCTACTTCTGCACCAGGTACACCTGGACTAGAAAGCCCATTATTCGATGGCTCGAATAATCGAGTTGTGATACGGAAGGTAGAACATGGAGATTTTTCACAAGGAACATCGGCTTCAACAAGTCCGCTCCCATCCGATATAAAGGTCATGGCACGAGGAGGACAATCTCCCTTCTTGGCTCATTCAGTCATGCCTGAAATTCAGGAAGATTATTTTTCAATGCCAGTCGCACAAGCAAAGCGAGTAAGACGTCTAAACTTCGATTTCTGGGGGGAGATGCCGAATGAAATCAAGTTGGCTATATTCTCTTTCTTGAAACCAAAGGAACTCATCCGAATCTCAATTGTGAGCAAGCACTTTCACAAAGTTTGTTTCGATGGTCAACTATGGACGCGCTTTGACGCCTCGAAATTTCATATGGAGATACCGGCTGAATCTCTTGCAAAAATCATTGTCTCAGCTGGACCATTCGTTAAAGATTTAAATTTGCGAGGATGTGTGCAAGTGGAACACTACAAGCGGGCGGAGATCGTGGTGAAAGCTTGCGAGAATCTTATCATGGCAACACTCGAGGGGTGTAAAAATTTGCAAAGATCTACACTACATAACCTCCTGAAGTCTAACGGCAGGTTGGCTCATTTGAATCTTACAGGATTGTCAACAGTCACAAATCAGACTTGCCGGATCATTGCCAAGTCCTGCCCATCGCTGGAAGTTTTCAATGTCTCGTGGTGTGACCGCATGGATGCTCAGGGCATCAAGTATGTTATTCTCGGCTGCCCCAGATTGAGAGATGTTCGAGCTGGTGAAGTCAAAGGATTTGGAGACAAGCACCGAGATGTCGCTCAAGCCTTATTCGAGACCAATGGGCTGGAGAGACTCGAACTTCCAGGCTCCGATATCAGCGATCACAGTCTGCAGACCCTAATATCTGGAATGGATCCCGAAATTGATATTTTGACTGATCTTCCAATGGTACCCGCCCGGAAATTACGATTCCTCAATCTTAGTCGCTGCAGTCGCCTCACGACCGTAGGTGTAAAAAGCATAGCACATAATGTTCCAGACCTCGAAGCTCTACAACTCAGCGGCTGCACTTCCCTTACAGACGCCGCTATCTCTGGCATCCTAGCCACAGCTCCTCGTCTCACCCATCTGGATATCGAAGACCTGGCTGAGCTAACCAACGCATTGTTCATTGAGCACCTCGCTAAAGCCCCGTGCGCACCAACTCTCGAGCACTTCTCGATCAGCTACTGCGAGAATGTCGGCGATACGGGCATCCTCCCTGCAATCCACGCCTGCAGCTCCCTCCGCAGCGTCAAGCTAGACAACACCCGAATCGGTGACCTCGTCCTCGCAGAAGCTGCATCAATGGTCCGTTCCCGCTCCTCGCGCACCTCCTCGCCACATACCCGTCCTCTTGTCGGACTGCGCATGGAGGTGTACGACTGCCAAAATGTGACCTGGACCGGTATTCGCGAGGTCCTTTCCAGAAATGCAGAGGTGAGGAAGCCATCTGGTGGAGAAGCTACGTATCCGACTGAGATCATCGAATTGAAGTGTTTCTATGGCTGGCAAGACACCGTACGCGAGCACCAAAAGCGTGTATTGAGGGGCGATCTCCCAGCCGCAGGCAGACTGGAGAGGAAGTGGGCAGAATATATGATGGCGAATGAAGAAGCTGGTGCTGGCGGTGCGGGTGTGAGGCGGAGGAGGAGGCGCGCCAGGGAGGCGCAGATGTTGCATGCCGACGAGGAAGAGGGAGGGATGGGGATGGGCGGTGTCGGAAGACGAAGGAGGGCACGAAGTAGTGGATGTGCAATCATGTGAACATTTGTTAAGGTGGTATGGTATGATATGAATTTTACGAGCGATAGGCATTACGGACATATGGGATGGCGCTCGGTTTGAGGGTTTTGGGCACCAGGTAGAGGGTTGAGTGTTTTGGGTTGGGATGCACTTGGTTGAGAATGAAACATGGACAACAGAGTCCTTTTATTTTGTGATTTATTCATATGTCTATACATACAATCACAAACTACTCCATCACATAAATTGTGCTTGAGCGACTGTAATCTTGTGTCATTCAAGAAATTTCCTAGATTCAGAGTGCTTAAAATCCACATCAAAGAAGAAGCGCATGATTTAACTGCTTTATTTCTGTAATTAGAGTTGGGTGCTGCGGCAAATGGCTGATGAGAAGTTTTGCTAGTGAAAAATATAGTGATAACGACGACGAAGAGGTGAGCAGACACGCGCTTCCAGGGCGTGTCATTAAGATGACTACGCTGATCGCCTTTTGCCCAAAGTGGAATGTCCATGAATGTAAGGCCATAAAACCCCAAAACTGAGATTGTTCCCGTTCTATTATTAGCTGTGGCTTTTGAAACGCTTCCGGAGCTATTTGGCACAAATATGGCAGATAGTTTTGTGAGAAATTCAATAGAGA